TTGAAATGGCAAAAAGCCATAAAATGGTACGAAGAAAGAGGTTGACTTAACCCCCAAATGTATGAAATTGTAACTTGATCATATGTAAAGTTGCAAAACTTAAAATAAATTTATTTTTAAAAAAAAGATAAAATTGAATAAATAAATAAATAAATAAACCATCCTCGATCTGTCAGCAGGGGTCTACCACCAATTTCCTCCGGTACAAGACCTTCTGTTCCTAACCGAGACCCCTGTCCTATACCACGACCAGTGTTCCCTCTAAGCTGAGTTAGTGTGAGCTAGCTCACAGTTTTTTAGCCTCCAGCTGACACATTTTTGTCTTAGCTCAGGAAGGAGGGCTCTAGAGCAAACGAAGTCATACAGTAGCCAGATCACTTGCTCACAACTTTAATGCCCGTAGCTCACAGAGTAGAAATTTTTTTCCACAGCTTAGAGGGAACATTGACCATGACGTGGCACGAATGAAGTTGACAGCCTGGAGAGTGGCGTCAACAGCTTTTCCTCCCGCATAGCAAATGTCTTGCCAAACTCCAGAAAGTCCACTACACGAAAATCTTATCATTACAAGAGTGGCTAAGCTTTTTTTCCTCCTTGGGTAAGGATGCCCCTCAAGCCACCTCCGCAGGTCTCGAGAAGGTTTTCGAATTCCTCCTGTCTCTTGCTGACTCGGGACTGTCACATTCCTTCTTGAAGGTTTCTTTGGCCACACTTTCGGCCTACCATGTTAAAGTTGAGGGATGCACACTGTTCTCGCATCCCCTTTCTAAACGTATCAGAAGTCCTGTCGTCCCCTGGGACCTTCCCCTGGTCCTTTGCCAACTCATCAGGAAACCCTTTGAGCCGTTCGCAACTTGTGATATGAAATTCCTGTCCTGGAAAACAGTCTTTCTGGTGGCTGTCACTTCAGCAAGGCGAGTTGGAGAAATACTGGCTTTCAGACATGACACTCCTTACTTGTCATTTTTGCCAGACGGCATCCACCTTGTACCTGACATCTCGTTCCTGCCAAAGGTAGTGTCAGAATTTCACCTACAGGCAGAGGTCTTCCTCCCGGATTTCTTCCCTGATCCGACATCCCCAGAGGAGAGGCTGTTACACACTTTGGACACGAAACGTGCCCTTCTGTTCTACTTAAACAGAACCCGCCCAACGAGATGGGACTGTCAACCGTTCATCTCCTATGCACCAGCAAGGCTGGGAACTTGCATCACGGCTCAGCGTTTGTCAAGGTGGATTGTAGGTCTCATCCACCTCTGCTACCTTATTGCTAAGCAGCCATTGCCTGGCCCTATCAGGGCTCATTCAACACAAGCTGTTACAGCCTCAACTGCCTTCCTCCAGGGAGTTCCCTTAATGGACATTTGCAGAGCCGCTACATGGGCTATGCCTAATACGTTCATAAGGCACTATGCCCTAGATGTCCGAAAGAACTCTCGTACTAACATGGGACGTCACATCATATCCTCGGCTTCGCAGTAATGACCTGCGAGCACCCTCCTCCAGGTAGGCCACTGCTCGCTAATCTCCCATGGGTGTGAAGCACAGAGACCACGTCGAAGATAAACAGGTTGCTTACCTGTAACTGGTGATCTTCGAGTGGTCATCTGTGCATTCACACCACCCGCCCTCCTTCCCCACTTATGAGTGTCATGTCAGCTTCTACATTTTTCATAGGGGTTGATTTGCGGCGGTTTGAAGGAACTGGCGGGATGTCCGCGCCCACCCCTCTGGGCATGCGTGGTGGAGTTCCTGCGCATGCCTGAGGTCTGGGCGCAAAAATCCATTAGAGATTGCTACAGTACCGATCGATCCAGCGCAGGCGCACTGTATCCCATGGGTGTGAATGCACAGATGACCACTCGAAGATCACCAGTTACAGGTAAGTAACCTGTTTTTCCTGGGTATACACAGTGTCTCTGATCAACCTTGCATCAGATCTCTGAACCTTTACTTGTATGAATGCTACACTCATCTCCCATTCCGTTCATCAAAATGAATCCATATCATTGCTTGTATTAACTGCTTATAATTCTGAAAAAGAAAGAGAAGCTTGCCCTATAACCTCTGAAAATATTTTCCTCTGTACATACCAAGTTGATTTGATACAGGAATATACATATGGTAAGGTAAAGTGTGCTGTTGAGTCACAACTGAGTCATGGCAGCCCCATACGTTTTACCTCATGGGATTTTCAAGGCAATAGGTGAGCAGAAGTGGTTTGCTATTGCATTTCTCTGCATAGCAGCCCCTGCCTTCCTTGGTGGTCTCCATCCAAGTACTGACCATGGCTGACCCCACCTTAGCTTCCAAGCTCTGACAAAAGAAAGCTAGTCTGGCTTCGTAGGGCTGCTACATACTAATGGAGTACCATATATTAGAATTACTTAATGTTACATATTATACTTACTCAAGAACAGTAAGAAGTAGAACATGGATTAGTTTTCACTTAGACCTCCTTCATATTGACTTTCAGTAATGTGAGGGTTGATTCCCCATTATGCATAGTCAGTTGCAAGAATATTTTCCACCCAATCAGGAATTTAGTCACATATAACTTCAGTCATGCTAAGTTAACCCACCCGCATTTTTCTTTTATAGTAGAATGGTTCCTCTAAGTGCTGTGGGCTTTGAGAATTTTTGTCCCTTTGAAATGGAAGAGAACCAGGTGGAAAGGACTGTATGCAAATGTGCTTGTATTTATTCTCCTAGGGGCAGACTGTTGCATGGACGGCACTTTACATACAAAAGTATTACAGGGGATACGGCAATTACTTTTGTATCAACGGGAGTTGAAGGGGCCTTTGCTACAGAAGAACATCCTTATGCAGCACATGGACCATGGCTACAAGTAAGAGGCCCTCTCCTCCTGCAGCCACTCTTTCCTTTTCTGGGTCACAAAAAAATAAGTTTTCCTTGGGTTTAGCCATATTATATTTAGGTCAGAGAATCCTATTTTTTCCCCAGTTTTTAGAATTGTTCAGAGAGAGGAATTTTTTTAAAGTAATGGCAGCTTCTCATATTCTGTTCTGTGTAAACAGCAATTTTCTCTCCCAGAATCCCTGAACATTTTTACACACTTTGCATCCTCTTAATTCGTTCTCTCACCACTGCAATGCAGCTACCTATGTAGTCTCAGTTGAACTGCACACTGTAACTTAGGAGATAAGATTGCAGTACTTGAACCCATTCAGACTGAAAAGGCAACTCAAACAAGCAGAAGTAGAAATATTGCAAAATAATCTTCAGAATTGTAAGAAGTCCTGGTCTTTGAGGAGAGAGTTTCGGAATTATCCTGAAGCTTTAGTTCAGGAGCTCCTAGTTGATCTTCAGTCTTTTGTGCAGTCCCACATTGTTTATTTATTTTACTTATTTATTTAGTTCGATTTTCCACCCACCATCCCTGCAAGTGGGCTCAGGGCATGTTAGAATCCCAAGATAATATGAAAACCATATTTCTGCTAAAACACAAACCAAACACAGTCAGGTGGATTCACCTTGACAACAATGCTCAGTTTGGGCTGGTTCCATTTGGCCAGCATTGTCAGCATGGGGAGGCCAAGATAAATGTGGATGTCTGCTGCCTCATCCAAAAGCCCAGCAGAATAACTCCGTCTTGCAGGCCCTGCGGAATTGTCATAAATCCCGCAGGGCCCTAATCTCAAGAGGGAGCTTGTTGCACTATCCTAGGGCCAGGACAGAAAAAGCCCTGGCTCTAGTTGAGGCCGGACGGACATCCTGGGGGCCGAGGACTACCAGAAGATGTTGATCAATTAAGCACAACACTCTGCGAGGGACCCGAAGATATGCAGGTTCCTGGCCACATAGGGCTTTGAAGGTTAACACCAAAATCTTGAACTGGATCCTGTACTCTATTGGCAGTCAATGCAGTTTGGCGGCGCACTGGTTGAACATGAGCTCACACAGGCGTCAGCATCAGCACACGTGCCACTGTATTCTGCACTAGCTGCAGTTTCTGGATCAGGTTCAAGGGCAGCTCTGTGTAGAGCAAGTTACAATAATCCACTCTGGTAGTGATCATTGCGTAGATCACTGTAGCTAAGTCCTGGAAAGTGAGATATGGGACCAGTAGCTTGACCAGCTGCAGATGGTAAAAAGCCAATCGAGCAATGGTGGCAACCTGGGCCTCCATTAAAAGGGAGGCATCCAGGATTGCGCTTGCACAAGCCAGCCACTGGAGACTCTCCTACAGCTACTCTGGTATTTCTTTAACGTTCCAAAGGGAGCCCCTCCCCTGCAGAGCTCATTAGAGGCCATTAGAGGTCACGTGCTCTGCTGGGAGGAGCCACACACCCCCCCCTTCCTTGAGTCCTTTCTTTGCTGCCGCATTGTGAGGACATGTTCTCTCCAGGTCCAGTTGTTGTGAGTTTTCGCGACGTTTTCTTTGCTTCCTGGGGACTCTTCCCTCTTTGGGAAATGTTGCAGAAGGCTTTGTTTAAAAATGGACTCAGTGTGGTACAAAAATGACCCGTTCAGCTGAACACTTTCTCTGCCTTTTCTGCTTGGGTGAGGTCCATAATACATGCAAGATTTGCCTCCAATGTACCCTGAAAGCCTGCTCAGATTGTGCAGCGTGCTTAAAGGCAAGCTTATGGGAGAAAGCGCTTACTTGCTCTGATAGCCCCACAGCGAAAACATCTGCCGCGGCAGAGCACAGTCAATCCTTGCCTTTGAAATCACCAGTTAGAACTGACCAACTTGCAAGCCTGCCATTGTCTCAGTTGTGTTGGTTCCAGGGACAGAACCGATGGATCAGGTCTGATCGCCTGCCCATTCAGTTGAGCGCTCTGTGTTGGAAACCCTGCCTAAGAAAGCCCGTTCCAAATCCAGACATGAGAAGCATCGTTTCAGTTCCAAGATTCTCCTGGAATTGATTAACTCTTCAGTTCTAGCCCTGCCTTAGGTTCCAGTGGAATGGAGGGAAGTCTTCCCACCACAAACACCTTCTCCACATGCCTCTACGGCTCATTCGTTCTCAGAAGGGGAAATAGAGCCTGGCTAGGGCACATTGGTGGTTCCAGCAGCTAGTCTATCATTGGAACCATCCTCCCTAGCACCATGGCAGAGTTCTATGCCTCCGCTTCCTTGGCAAGACTATCCTTATTATTTTCATTCTCCTAGACCTCAAGAATGGGGTGACTGGCAATCAAGAAAAGCACCTCCAGAACTGAGGCACCCCTTTTCATGGAACTGTGATGTGGGTTTGCCAGTTTGGTATCCTCTTGCAATCTCTCGCCACCCCCTTATGTGGCATTTGGATCCAAGGAAGAGCAGGTTTTGAGAGCTAACTCCCCTTCTGGTCCAGGGTCAGACTTACCATCGGACCCTTCCCTTTATGACACTGTAGGGGACCCTGATCCATTGTAACCTAATGAAGATCTGAAGCTCTACGCAGAACAAATGATGTAAATGGCTAAATCGTTGGCAATAGAGATGACCTCCAGCAACCCAAGACCTCAAGACAAGATCTTAGGCAAGCTCTATGTAGAGTCACCTGGTATAATCGCTGTCCCTATCCTGGAGGGTATTGCTGACTTCTCCAAGGCCCTCCGGCAAAAACCAGCTGGCATGTCTGCCACATCCAAAATGTGGAGAGTTTATACAGGGTGCAACAAGAAGGTCATACCTATTTATTCAACCATCCTCTGGCTTCAGCCCTCATAGCTGAGGAGATGCGAATGAAACAGCGTACAGGTGGACATAGAGAGGGGCAAAAAAGTTTACTTTTCTGCTACACCCACCAAGCACATTGCCAACTATCATGTAATTATGGGAGGATACCAGTTGTTCCTCTGGGAAAAGGTGGCTGCTTATATGGAGCTTCTGCCTGAAGACAAGAAGCCTCTGGCTGAACTTATCCAAGTGGAAGCATTGCACCTATCCAAGCAACAGATTAATGCAGCCAGACACACCTCTGACACCTCCTCCAGGACCATGGCTTCAGCACTCATACTGAGGTGAAATGCTTGGCTGCGCTCCACAGTTTTCCCTCCTGACACCTGGCAGAAGGTGGAAGACCTTCGTTTGAGGGAATGGTACTGTTTGCTTTGTCAACCAATGATCTTTTACCCCAGGTCTAGAAGAACAAGTGAACAGCTCATTCATTTGGCATCACAACAGGTTCCGCCACTCCGTACAGGTCTTGGCAGACATATAGATTCCACCAAGTGCTATCAACATACTCCTGGCACTCTCACCAGCAGCCTCACTCGTCACAGTATCCTACATAGTGGCCCTTTTCAGGGTCTGAGGCACAGAGCAGGAGCAGGTCCAATCATGGAGCTAGACATTTGGGCTGACAGCCAATGCTCCCTCTAAGCTGTGGAGTCTTGTGAGCAAAAGTTCTACTTTGTGAGCTACTGGCATTAAAGTTGTGAGCGAGCAATTTGGCTACTACGTAAATTAGTCTGCTCTGGAGCCATCCTTCCTGAACTAAGACAAAAATGTGTGAGCTAGAGGCTAAAAAACTGTGAGCTACCTCACACTCAGCTTAGAGGGAACACTGCTTACAATATCAGTCGCTTCCCAAAGAGCCATTTTTGGTGGTGATCTGTTAGCCAGGAGAGTGGGAAAGTTAGCAGCTTTGAGGGCTGACCATCCGTTTATTAAGTTCCAAATGAGCCATGTAGTTCTGAGACCCAGTTAGTGCTTTTTACCTAAGGTGGTCTCTAGTTTCTGCCTTGCTCTGGACATTGTCCTTCCAGTATTTTTTCCATCCCCTACCTCAGAGGCAAACCCCCCCCCCCACTACATTCCTTAAATGTGAAGAGGTCTTTATTGTTTTACTTAGACAGAACAAAAGACTTCTGGCAGTCCCAGTGCCTTTTTGTGTGCTACTCTGGTAGCTCAAGGGGGAGGCCAGCCTCAGCACAGACCATTTCTGGAAGGATAGTCCTGGCTATTCAGTTGGGGTATGAGCAAGCCAGTCTACCGTGTCCTCTGGAGCTTCGGGTGCATTCTACATGGGCACAGGTAGCGTCGGCAGCATTCCCAGAGAGGCACTCCCTTGGAGGATATCTGCCAAGCAGTGACATAGTCATCATCAGACACCTTCGTTGAGCACTATTCTGTGAATGTGAATGCGAGAAGGGATTCAGCAGTTGGCAGAGCCGTACTGCACTCCTTGTTCCACTGAAACTCACCCTGCTTCCAAGATAAGAAGCTCTGTAGTCTTCCAATGTAGGACTGCAGAGAAAACTGAAGATGAAAACAGTGTTGCACTTATCTGTAACTGTTGTTCATTGAGGTGTCTGCTGTGCAGGCACACATTCTCTTCCTCCTACCCTGCTGTGAGTTCATAGGATGCAGTTACATTCATGACATTCGGGGTGGCTCAGGACGACTGAGGGAAAGGGGGAGGCTCCTCCCTGCGAGGACTGTTAGGCAGGCAGATGGACTCTAACGTGACCATTAGGGGGTAAGATGGCATCTAATGAGCTCTGCAGGGCAGGGACTCCCCTTGGAGTGTTAAAGAAATACCAGAGTAGCTGTTAGAGAGCCTCCAGTGGCTGGCCTGTGCTAGTGGAGCCTCAGTGTGTGCCTACACAGAAGGCACCTCGATAAACAACAGTTACAGGGAAGTGCAACATTGTTTTCTCCTGCATGCTTGAGTATTTTGTTCCATGCGCCCCCTAGGAAGAGCTAGTGAATGCAGCAAATAGAATGTAAAGTAGGGTAGTTCTTCATTGTACCGTTTCAGAGGAGATAGCAGAGCCAGGAGCAATCTTCAGAGGAATTATTTGAAGTAGCTGAGTAAAATTCTTGCACAAAAGTTATAGAGCTCCATAATTTACATAGCTCCGTGACCATAGCTAGATGGGGACATTTCTT